CAGTGTGATAAAGTCCTTAGAACCTGGAAAGTTACTTTTAAAAAATAATTCATTCTTGTTACTACCCTGAAAAAAATTGTTCTTATTGCTTGTTAATGTCAAAAGAGTAACTAGTATGGTTGCTCAGAGAAGTCCATTATTTTCCATTAAAGTTACTTAGAATCATTAAGAGGAGGGATACAGCCTCTGAAATGTCACTTTGAAAGGTAACTAGAACACATTGCTCAATGCACCAGCAAAGTAATTTTGTTTCAACTCATGTTGCTTTTAAAACCTGATTTCTCTGCATTACCAAAAAAAAGGGGGGGGGAAAAAGAAAGAGAGAGAGAGAATGACTTGTTGCCCATAACTATGTTATTTAGAATCATAGGAGATTTCCCACTACACTCTTATAGAGCTGCTATGCCACTATTAGTGCTCTGCCTGCCTCCTGTTGCATTCTGGGATTTGCAGTTGCGGGAGGGGCATTTAGAATTCTCAGCCAGAGAGCTCTTAGGCATCACTGAACTACAAACTCCAGAATGCAACAGGAGGCAGGCAGGGCAGTAATAGTGGAATAGCAGCACTATAAGAGTGTAGTGTGGTAATCTTCACAGGCTCATAGAGTTGGTAGAGAGACCACAAGGTGTCTTGCCCTTTGCCTTAAGCTAGACTGCTGCTGTCAGGTGAGATGGAAGGTGTTCCCCCATTTTTACTAGAAAAAAGCAACAACAACCTGTCAGTCCAGTTGGCTTTTGTACTCTGGCATAAGCAGAGTAGAATCATAGAATCAACTCTCTGCCATGCAGGAACTCACAATCAAAGCACCCTCGACAGATGACCATCCAGCCTCTGTTTAAAGATCTCCAAAGAAGGAGGCTCCACCACTCTCTGAGGAAGTGTGTTCCACTATCAAACAGCTCTTACTGTCAGGAACTTCCTCCTAATGTTGAGGTGGAATCTCTTTTCCTGTAGTTTGCATCCATCACTCTGAGTCTAAGGGGGGGTTGCAGACTGCCAGAAATAGTGCAAATTGAGTCCACTTTTAGGGTTAGGGTTAGGGAATCATGGGGACTGTATTTTATTGTGGCATCAGAGCTCTCTGACAGAGAAGGCTCAATGTCTCAGGGGGGAAAAAACAATTCCCATGATTCCCTAGCATTAACCCTAACCCTAAAAGTGGACTCAATCTGGCAGTCTGCAACCCCCCTTATTCTCTGGAGCAGCAGAAAAAATGCTTGCTTCATTCTCAATGTGACACCCTTCACATATTTAAACAGGGCTATCATATCACCTCTTAACTTGTAACTTGTTACTTCCAAGCTTTTTGTTAACTACTTGAGAACAAGAGAGGAAAGGTGTGTGGGTAGGCAGGATGTTACACCATGGAATCCTAAGTACATGTCTCTGCTTCAATTGTCCCTAGAGGCACCTAGCTACTTGTGCAGGTGTGGTTGCACAATTCTCCACTTCCAGCCAAATTTAGGGATGGAGCTGCAACATGAGGTCATAGACCATTCTCTGTGCAAATTATCGGAGACCATCCTTTACTATGACATTTCCTGCAGCGAGAAATTTATTCCCTGTCTAAAGGCACAGACCCCATAGAGCACGTTCTGTCTGCACATTCTTGTCCCAAACTAAGGACCAGTCTGCATAACCCATCAGTTGGGATCCAAACTGCCAACACAACTTTTAGCAGCTTCCAGGGGTCTCTGCTACCTGGACAGCTATTCTTCATATGATTCAGAAGATAAACATATAAGTAGTATGGCCCAGCAGGACTACATGGTGAGGAAGTGGCCACCAGGATGACAAATTTTATTTGAAGGATCTGTAACATGCTAGACTAGCCTCAGCTCTGCTGGCACAGGTTGCTGCAAACAGCATGAAAACCATTTTCAAAAATAATATTTTTTTTTAGCATGGGATTGGGGATATATTATCATATAATGCCACAACAAGGAGTGATTTCTGAAAAACAAATGCCAGAATTAGGCTTTGGGACTCAACATGGAATTAGGGGGAGTGGCTTTTTTTTTTTTTTTTGTCCTGAAATCAAATGGGGAACCTGAAAGGTAAACTATGGGCCTAAGCAGACTGCCAGAAATAGTGCACATTAAATTGAGGCACTGCCCTGGCTCAGTGCTAGGGAATCATGGGAACTGTAATTTATTGTGGCACCAGAGCTCTCTGACAGAGAAGGCTCAATGTCTCAGAAAAAAATACAGTTCCCATGATTCCCTAGCACTGAGCCAGGGCAGTGCCTCAATTTAATGTGCACTATTTCTGGCAGTCTGCTTAGGCCTTTAGACATATTAGCAATAGAAATTAACCTGCCTTATGAATTTGTTGAAGTGGTTACAGAGTATTACATATTTGTAGTTGCCATATTTTTCTATCCTAGATATAACAATTGCATGGCAGGCAGGAATTCAATATGTACAGCTTTTGGTGAGGTAGAGATGCCATAGGGAAGTGTCATGTTCAGTGAATTGTTGTCTGCTATGTAGCTCTTAAAGGCATGGAGTTACAGGGGAGGCTAACTTAGAACCTTGCAATATAATTATAGCAGATGGACAGGATGTTTGTGAGTGCATATGCCCATGTGTTCTAGCACATGGCAATGCGGTGGGTGTAATGTTTAAAGGGCTGGATTGGGACTTGGGGAGATTCAGCTTCTCATCCTCAGTGATCCATGAATGTCCCTGGTTGACCCTGAGCCAATCACTCACTTTCAGGCTGAACCATCTCATAGAGTTGTTGCAAACACAAAGTGGAGAAAAAGAGAGACATAAGCGCTGCTTTGAATTCACTGAAGGAAAGTAGTATACAAATATATCTGATGAGTAGAATGTTAAATAAATGACAGGCAGCTAAAGCAACATATTGCCATTATAAAATCTTATTCTTCGCACCTAATAGACCTCTTCTTTTTACAGTTCAGTCCCGGAGCCTTCTGTTCTATGATGAGCATGGGGGATCCTTAGAGGAGGGCTACAGCTCCTTCATCTCTGTGGAGCATCCTGAAAAGTGGGAGAATGAAAAAAATGAGGAGGAAGAGCAGCAATCTCCAGAGCAAGGCCACAGTCCCCTGGTAGTGGCCCACGAAACAGCCAAATATCTGCACAAATCTCACCAGGACGGGCCAAATCAGAACCAGACCAGCTCTACTCTCTCTCATCCCAAGGACCAATTCCATAAGAGGTAAGCAGACTCACTTTCCAATATCTACCAAATATTCCATCTCAGTACAGTTTTTCAATAGGGTCATCAAGTTTTTTTTTAATACCACCCATTTCTATGTTTTTAACCAATCTGATACACACCAGCTGCTCATAATGTTTATTTCCCTTCATTCAAAGACTTCACTGCTGATTTATTTCAATCAAGCTACCGTTAAAGACACAAGAGCAGTTCAGCTAATCCCCCTACCACCAATGACATGCATACAGTGGCTTCAGTGTTGATAATTGGTGAATCCACTCTGGACCACACTCTGGATCACACATGGACCAGTTTTGTTGTTAAAGAGATAATAAAGTGGAAATGAAGCATCCCAAAAAGAAAGCGAAAATAGAACTTAATTGCGCAAAAGCTTTTCACATGTAATTACAGTAATAACGGAATTAAGTTAAAAGCGAAAAAAGACGTTTTTAACTTTCATACACAAGTAAAAAGAACCCGTACATGTACAGTGGTACCTCTATTTACGAAATTAATTCGTTCTGACAGCCATTTCGTAAGTAGAAAATTTCGTAAGTAGAAGCAAATTTAACATTGAAATGCCCTAATCCGTTCCAAGCCCATAGAATAGCCAAGGCTGCAGCTGGAAGGCTGCCTCCTTCCAGCCCCTTCCTGCTGCAGCCTCGGCTATTCTATGAGCTGATCCTGGAGGTGGAGGAAACCTCCACTTCCAGAGCCAGCCCAAGAAACGGCTGTGGCTCCGACTTGA